AATCGTGAATTTTGGATTCTGTGAAATTATTTATTAATAGGTCTAATCGAATAAAATTGGTAAAATATCATGAAATTTTTGACTCCTTAATGGGTCGAAACGATTAACAATGACTAAAAGTTAAAGATTATAGTTCATGAAATCGTGTAAGACTGTAAAATTATTTGCCAATGGGCCAAAAAAATAAAATGGCCAAAAATTATGATATGAAATCGTGAATTTTCACCTCCGTGAAATTTTTTCCCTTAGGTCAAAACGAACGAAATTGAATAAAAATTGTGGGTTATAACTCATGAAATGGTAAAATTTGGACTTCGCGAAATTATTTGCTAGTATGTCAAAAGAATAAAAAGGCAAAATATCGTTGGTTATTTATCTCATGAAATTATGAATTTTTGACTTTGCAAAATTATTTATTAGTGGGATGAAATGAATAAAAATGAACAAAAATCGTGGGTTGTAGCTTATGAAATTGTGAATTTTAGATTCAACGAAATTATTTGACAATGAGTTGAAACGACTAAAAATGACTAAAAGTCATGGAATATAGCTCATGAATTTAAACTTAGCAAAATTATTTAGCATGGCTAGAAACGACTAAAAATAACTAAAAATTGTGGAATATAACTCATGAATTTAGACATCACAAAATTATTTTCCAGCTCACAAATTTAGGCTCAGCAAAATAATTTGGCATGGGTAGGAACGACTAAAATGGCTAGAAATTGTGGAATATAGCTCATGAATTTGGACTTCACAAAATTATTTGTCATGAGAAGAAACGACTGAAAATGATAAAAAATCATAGGTTATAGCTCATGAAATTGTGAGTTTTGTTCTTCGCAAAATTATCTGCTAATGACTCAGAACAATGAAAAATGACCAAAAATCATGAGTTATCCCTCATGAAGTCATAAATTTTAGACTCTGTGAAATTATATGCTAATGGGTCTAATCGAATGAAAAATGGTAAAAAATCGTGGGCTGTATAGCTTATGGGATCATGAATTTTGACACAATAAAGTTTTTTTGCTAATGAGTCGAAATGACTAAAAATGCTAAAAATTTATGGATTATAGCTCATGAAATCATGTTAGACTTTGTAAAATGACAAAAAATCATGGGTTAGAGCTAATGAAATCGTGAATTTTTACCTCCATGAAAATTTATTCCCTTGGGTCAAAATGAAAAAAATTGTGGGTTATAGCTCATAAAATAGAAAATTTTAGACTTTAAGAAATTATTTACCAATGGGTCAAAACGACAAAAAATGGCCAAAAAACATGGATAATAGCTCATGAAATCGTGATTTTTTGACTTAAGAAATTATTTACCAGTAGGATGAAATGAATAAAAGTAGGAAAAAAATCGTGGGTTATAGCACATGAAATTGTTAATTTTGGGCTCTACGAAATGCCAATGGGTCTAAACAAATAAAATAGCTAAAAAACATCGGTTATAGCTAATGAAACCATGAATTTTTATTTTCACAAAACTTTTTTCACTTAAGGTCAAAATGAATAAAAATGGATAAAAATTATGTGTTATAGTTTATGAGTTGTAAATTTTGGATTTCGAGAAATTATTAACCAATTGGTCAAAACGAATAAAATGGACGAAAATTGTGTTATATCTCTCATGAAATTATGAATTTTGGACTCCGCGAAATATGTACCAATGTGTCAAAAGGAACGAAACGGTGAAAAATATCAGTTTTAACTACTAAAATTGTGAATTTTTACATCTATGAAATATTTTTCCCTTGGGTCAATATGAATAAAAATAAACAAAAATAATGCCTTATAGCTCATTAAATGGTAAGTCTTGACCTATGGAAAATTATTTGCCTATGGATTGAAACGAAGAAAAATAGCCATAAATTGTGAGTTAAAGCTCATGAATTCGTGAATTTTGAACTCTTCGAAATTGCTTATCAATGTGTAGGAAATGATAAAAATGATAAAAAATTATGGGTTATAGCTCTTGAAATTACTGATTTCAGATTACATAAAATTAGTTGCTAATGTGTCAAAACAAATAAAAATTACCTAAAATTTTGGGTTATAGCTCATGAATTTTGAGCTCCGTAAAATTATTTGCCAATAGGTCTAATCGAATAAAAATAGCCTAAAGTCGGGTTTACTGCTCATGAAAATCATTTTTCGAATGTGTCAAAACGACTAAAAATGTTGAAAACTCGTAGGTAATAGCTTATGAAATGGTCAATTCTGGACTCCACAAAAGTATTTGCTATTGAGTCAAAACGACAAAAAAGACCAAAAATTATAGGTATAGTTTATAAAATCATGATTTTCTTACTCGTAAATATATTTTTTAATAGGATGAAACGAATAAAAATGGCTAAAAATCATGAGTTATAACTCAAAAAATCGTGAATTTCAGACTATGAAATTATTTATCAATGGTCGAAACTAATAAAATGGTCAAAAATCATGGGTTATATATCTAATAAAATGGTGAATTTGACTTGCAAAATTATTTACTAATATGATGAACCGAATAAAAATGTATGAAAATCATGAGTTATAGTTCATAAAATCGTGAATTTTGAGCTTCGTGAAATTATTTGCCTATGGGGTTAAAATAAATGCAAACGATAATTTTTTTGAATTATACCTCATGAAATCATGAGTTTTGGACGTCACAAAATTATTTATCAATGGTTTGAAATGAATGATATGGTCAACAATCGTGGGTTATAGCTAACGAAACTATGAATTTTTACATCTTCAAACGAAACGAATGAAAATGAAAAAAAATTGTGGCCTATAGCTTATGAATGGTGAATTGTGGAGTTCGCAAAATTATTTGTCAATGGGTCAAAATGAATAAATGTGGCCAAAAATGTTATAACTCATAAAATTATAAATTTTGGTGTCCGTGAAATTATTTGTCAATGGGTCAAAACGATTGAAAATGGTTAAAAATCTTGGATTATAGCTCATGATATTGTGAATTTTAGACTTCTCAAAATTATTTGCCAATAGGTCGTAACGAATAAAAATGACCAAAAATCTTGGGCTATAGCTCATGAAATCTTGAATTTTGGATTCCGCAAAATTATTTTTTAATGGGTAGAAATGACTAATAATGGCAAAAAGTCATGGGTTAGCTCAATGAAATCGTGATTTTTGGAATTTGCGAAACTATTTACTAATAGGTCGAAATGAATAAAAACGGTCAAAAAACATGGGTTACAATTCATGGAATTGTGAATTTTGGACTCTGAAAATTATTTATCGATGGGATGGAATGACAAAAAGACAAAATCGTGTAGTAGCTCATGAAATAGTAAATTTAGACTTTGTGAAATCATTTTCCAATGGATCGCAATGAGTAAAAATGGCCAAAACTTGTTGGTTAGAGCTCATGAAATGAATTTTAGACACCGCAAAATTATTTGCCGATGGGTCGAAACAACTAAAAAAAGCAGAAGATCTTGGGTTAAAGCTCATGAATCGTGAATTTTAAGCTCCGCGAAATTATTTATCGATGGGTAGAAACGACTGAGAATGACCAAAAGTTGTGGGTTATAGTTCATGAAATCTCGGATTTCGGACTTAATGAAATTTTTTGCCAATGGGTTGAAACAAATAAAAATGGTAAAAAAATTATAGGTTTAAACTCATGAAATCATGAAGTTTTACCTCCGCGAAAGTATTTGCGAATGGATCTGAACAACTAAAAAGAACAAAAAATCATGGGTTATAGTTCATAAAATTGTGAATTTTGCACTCCAGGAATTTTTTTCTTGGGTCAAAACGAATGAAAATGAATAAAGACTGTGGGTTGTAGCTTAGAAATGGTGAATTTTGGACTCCACAATTATTTGCTAATGTGTCGAAAGAATAAAATTAGCTAAAAATGATGGGTGATAGCTTATAAAATTATGAATTCCGGACTCCGCAAAATTATTTGCCAATGTGATGAAACAAATAAAAATGGACGAAAATCGTGGGTTATAGCTCATGAAATCGTGAATTTAGACTCCATGAAATTATTTGACAATGGGCCAACACGACTAAAATGGCCAAATTTTTTGAAATATAGCTCATGGAATTATGAATTTTAGACTCCACGAAATTATTTGGTAATAGGTCAAAATGACTAAAAATGGCTGAATATCTTGGGTAATAGTTCATTAATCGTGTATTTTGACCTCCGCGAAAATATCTGTCAATGGGTCGAAACGACTAAAAATGGCCAAATATCTTGGACTATAGTTCATTAATCATGTATTTTGGCCTTCGCGAATTATTTTCTAATGGGTCGGAATGATAAAAAATGATCAAAAATCATGAGTTATAGTTAATGAAATTATAATTTTAGACTCCGCGAAGTTATTTGCCAATGGGTCAAAATGAATAAAAACGACAAAAAATCGTGGGAAATAGCTCATGAAATCATGAATTTTGGACTCCGCTAATTTATTTTCTGATGGGTCGGAAATCGGAATGACTAAAAATGATAAAAAATCGTAGGTTATAGCTCATGAAATTGTTAATTTTGGACTCCGCGAAATGTTTTTCCCTCCGGTTGAAACGAGCGATAAAAATCGTGAATTGTAGCTCATGAATAGTGAATTTTAGACTGCATGAAACGAATAACCCTTTCATGCAACAAGTTCCATGATTTTGGCTGTTGCATGCATCCAACAAACTCTCTTCTCATATTCCATCAGGCTCAAAGGATGCACAGTAGTAGTAGATGGCATATTGTAAGCTAGGATTATAGTCTTGTAAACGCATATTTGGACTCTAAGAAACTGTTTCTTTTAAAAACTTACCTCAATTATTAGTTATGTTATGTGCGTAAAACCATAACCGTATTTATGTGCATGCTGTTTTGTTGTGCACAGTTATTTGTCTGTTGACATGGTGTAGTATATTCATGGAAAATTGATCACGAATTTGAGTCCTTTTAGTGTTAGCTTTTTTCTTTGACCTGCTAATTCCATAATCTCTTTTCTTTCCTTGTAGATCAGATTGGGCAGAAAACCAGATGGATTTTGCCTTGTAGTAGGCTCTTGTGCTCGTGGTTTCAAGGAGAACACAACAAGTGACATTATATTTAGTAACGCAACAGTGAAGAAGATGGGGAACTCACTTTTGCAATATTTTTGGGAGGTAAGTCCTATTTGGAAGAGCACAACATGAATTCCTTGAGTATGCTGGATGAAAAATCATCTTTTTATCATGTAATGTTATGGATATAGCCTTGGAAATAAATTATCGTATGAACTCACTACTAAAGGCTTAAAGCTAGTGTATTTATATACGGGATTTAATTCTTCAACTGCAGCTTTCTCTACCTTTTTACCAAGCCTCCTTCTCCTTGTATCTCACCTAGATTTCATTCTACTCATGTATTTTTCTCTTGCAAAAAAGCAGATGTTCCTCTTGAGTTATCACTATGCCTTATTATATCTGTGGCTGGCAGAAAAGAGGGTTAAAGGCGGACAGAACATAACCAGCTCTAAAAGCCCGTGCTTTGAGCATACCTAATTTAATATCGTCCAACTAATATTCATGCAAGCATTAGCTATGTCCAAGTTTTGAGTTTTCAGATAAATGGAAAAGCAATCTAACTAAATCTAATAAATTGTTAATATTATAAGAACACTCTACAGAAATTTTATAAATGGCCTAAATAGCCCTATACGAGCTGAGAGCATGATAAATAGTTTGCAGCAACTGAGCCACAATAGAATTTCTTAAATCTCACATACGGAGAATCTGAATATTTCTCATAACATCCGGACTCAAACATAGAAATCCGATTATCTTGATTATTGAAGTTTGACATCACTACATTGGTGAGATCTGGCTTCACATTTCCAATTGATCAAATTTGTAGGCATTTCCTGCTGGTTCTGGTCCCACAGATAGAACTACTTACCTCTTCACTTATGTTGCTCCACAACCTGGCGCTCCAAGGCTAGAAGAGCTATTAGAAGACTATTGGGATTCAATGCCGGATTACCAGGTTTAGTCCTCTCCTCTGCTGTTGCTTTATTATTGACATAATTTGTCATCTTTTTATTTTAAGTTTAGGATCTGCTGTATGATGTTTATACTTGTGGATTTAGTGGCAGTCATGCATTCCATATCTGATATTGAATGCTTTAAGTTCTGTTATAACGAATGTATGATTGCTTATTTTCTCAGGGATGTAGGACTTATGGGAGACTTTTTCATGTTAAACAAGTCTTGCGAAATTCATACTAACTAGTTCTCTTTTTAATGGGTAAAGAAAACAAACTCTTCAATTATACCTTGCTTCTGGGGGGGTTGGGGGTGCGGGGTGCGGAAGGGTTATAGTGTGCATAAAATCACTGCCTTCATTTTTAGGGTGTTTTAGGAAACTAGCCAAAAATGATAAGGCAATGAGACAAGCAATATGACATTGCCCGTCGGATTTTAAATCCATTATACAACATGAAATTCTTCAATATTTTGTAAGACTAGCTTAAACCTTAATATATAACTCATGATTAATGAATTTAGATCCTCTTCACTACACAAAAATAGTGGATAGACCACTACTTTTAATCTCAACTGTTGATTATCTAGTGGGTGATATTGATACATTCTAAATCGAGCACTAAATTGAACACTCATCGTAACCCTTGTCTTGTACTCATTCCTAATTTGCACTCAAAGAAGAAAAAAAAATCGTACTCACCCACTAGATAATCAATGGTTGTGAGTAAATAGCGCTCCCTCCACTACTTTTTTGGTAGCAGAGAGGATCCGAATCCATGATTAATTGACTCATTGCAACTGTGATCAATTCCTTTCTTGTGATATACCCTGTTTGAAAAGATTGATCTGAAATATGCCCACCATTTAGTATTGAAAATTATTGTAAGATGAGAAATAATACATGATCTATTCTAAAATCTGTTTATAGATTTGATTCTCTTAGAGTCCTTCTAACCATTACATCACAACTCCAAAGTTGTGGTGAGGGTTTATGGTTATATTTTTATAGTCTAACATGTCTTCGTAGGTTGAGTGACCTTTTTATGGCCCAAAACCTGGACTCATGCATCAGTGACAATTTTTAGAAAATCCGCTTTAAATTTTTAGGGTTATATTTTTATATTCTAATAGATTCAATCTACCGACCAATGTTTACTTGCACGTAATGTTCATCAATGATCATTATGCATTAGGCTGTTTTAAACTGTATTTTATACATGATTTTCATTTATTATAGTTTTCCTTTGCTGGAAAAAAGTTGGCGACCATCTTCTGTTCTGTTTCAGGGAGTAGCTTTGGACAAATTGGAGATTCTAAGAGTTAATTTTGGCATTTTCCCCACTTACCGTGACAGGTTAGAACTTTCTCATATTGAAGAAAGTATATGTGTCATATCATGTTAAACTTTGATATAGCTGTCTTTAACGACAGCTTGTATTTACTTGCTTTGTTTATTAGTTTCCTTTTTCTCCTTTGATTTAACATCATAATAAAAATACCTTAATCCAGGCAAGTTCTCAAATTTTACTGATACATTCTTCTTGCTTATAATTAGTTGATATTTTAAGCCCTATGCACCTGCGGCCATATTTATTGAGCTAATTCTTTTAATTCTATGCTGTCCTACATAAGTTTCAGCTTGTTTATTTAAAAAAGAAAAAAAGCTTAAGTGTTTATTTCACATGATAAACACCCACATAGAGGAAAAGTTAAAGAGATATTATGTTATTTTAAAAGTGGCGTGCCATACATCTTATGGCCGTGAGGTGTATGATTGCTATATAACATCAACAATAGATGATTATTTTCAGAAAGGAATACTTCATAGTTGATTGCTCTTTATATGGTGTAGTCTACTCTTGGAACTATGACATAAGTCAAGATATGATCATTGAATCAGTTGTTTGGATATGATACAGAGTCTTTCCTTGGAGATTTTGTCAAAAGACCTTAGATTTGCACAACATCTTTATAGTTGTTATATACCAATTACCAAATATTACATATTGGCCTTTCTAGATTTTAGCAAACCGCGATCTAATCAAAGAGTTTTCTTTTGAGAAAATTTAGGAATTTCCATATAATATGAATATTCCTGTACTGTAAAGAATCTTTTACTAGAAAGAGTCTGAATCTATGGGAGACACAGAAGTCATTTAGTGGAGGTCTTCACATATGTTCTAGCGCAGCGATGTTCTATCTCCTGACACGAAAAAGGAAATATAATTGCTGGTTCTCACTAAAGAAAATGGCTCTTGCCTGTTAGACCCTAGAGGGGGGTGATTAGGGTCTTATGCTAATCTAATCCAATTTTATGTCAATTAAAACTAATTAACAAATATATTCTTGTAAGATAGATATACAAAGAGTTAAGTGCAAGAATATGCAATATACACTAGGTGATATATCCTAGCAAAGAGGTATACTATGTGATATATGCAAGGATATGCAAACACAAGGGTAACATAAACAAATGATATAGTGGATGAAATAAACAATGAGAGAAAGGCTATAAAGATGAACAAATATAAGTGTGCTAAGCCAAACTCAAACAAGCAATATGATCACGGAGTTCGGACCTTCCGTCCTATGTCTCCGCTCCCCACTCCCGGGGAGAAATCCACTATCACAATCCGGTTTGGAAGCCGGAACTTCTACACACTCGGTTTTCTAGCTAACCGAAAACTCTACAACTCACACTCTTGCAAACCCACTCTACACCCTCACAAGTGTTGGACCTAGTCGTGTCTCCCTCAAGTGCTCGGTTACAACCTCTCCTTAGGTTCGTCAACCGACGTCACTCCTCTTGGAACGATTCCTGACTCTCACCACACTCCTCTCGGTGTACAAATGTATTACAAAGTGATCTCACGATTAAGCACAATACAAAGAATGGTTGTTCTCTAATATGGATGAGAACACAATAAAAGCTCATACTCAATTGTTACAACTCTCACCAACCCAATTATAATATGTATGAAAATACAATAATCTCAAGTGGGTGTGTGTAACAATGAGAAACTCAAATCAAATCTAAACTCAATATAAAAACTAGCTTTAAAGAATGATAATCAAATAACTGAGCAAATGTAAAGCTAGATAAGAGTTTAGAAAACTTCTCAATAGATGACAAGATGGAGAGATGGAGATTGAAGCCCAAACAAGAAGGTGATCTCCTCCACTTGTGAAAACTTCTTCACAAACCAAACAAACACTAAACACACTTAAACCCTTGTTTAAAACTTGTTTAAAAACTTCTTGGTTTTTAAGAACTGAGGTATAAGGGGGTATTTATATGAAACCCCAAAGCCAAGAGAAAACCAAGAAATGACCAAAAAACCAACTCAGCAACAGCTCTGGAAACTAGCCGTTAGAAAGCAATCATTAGTTCGGCGGGCGACCGCGGCAGTCGACCGCGAGCAACAAAAAAACAAGTCGACCGTGGGAAAATTCGAGCTGACGGTCGACCGTGATGGTCGACTGCGAAAGTTTCTGTTTGACTCCATAGGTAAAAACTCAGGTGCGGTCGACTGTGACGGTCGATCGCAAACTGATACATGAACAGAACAGTTTGAAAGTTGATTTTTTGATTTTAAACCCCTGTTTAAAAATATCAAATAAATTTTAAAAAATATAAAACTTTGGGGAATGATTGTAGACATGATAATAAACATGCTACGACGACTGGTTTCCAAAAAAGACTTCCCAAATAAAAAATATCATCATTTTACAAAATAGGCCAAAACACGAAAATGTAAACATATGAATTTTGACATTTTGGCTAAACCATGTTTTGAAACATTACAAAATGATTCTATAGACTTGAAGAAAGATATAAACTATTATTATGAAGTCTATAAACAATGAGTGTAGTATTTTATCAAAATACATATATAATGCACTAAAACATGATTTCATTGAACTAAATAAAATTGATATTGATAAAATCATATATATGCATATAAGTATGAAACAAAAATATGTTTTCTAATTATATTAAATTGTTTAATATTAAAACTTGAAAACTATCAAACCAAAATATATATGTATATATATAACTATATATATACAAAATCAAAACGTGTATGTGTGTATATGATTGAGCTTAAAGTACTAACACACATAATATAAACTCCTAAACTAAATGTTACCCAAGCTAGATATTGATCTTCATTGTAGCTCAACTTGGTAAACTAGGATGAAGCTTGTAATTGGATCTTTAACTTGATAGCCTTCATTGTAGCTCAACTTGGTAAACTAGGATGAAGCTTGTAATTGGATCTTTAACTTGATAGCAAGGCCTCCACTATTCCGCCAACCTCCATTGGATATGATCGTAAATGCACAATTCCATCCATCCTCCAACACGTTGTTTGCCTAGAATAAATACGAAAACACAAACACTAGACAAACAACATTAGTGATAAATTGTTTGTTAAACATCATCAAAACAAGAAGGCCAACATTGCCTATATTCTCTAGATTAATGAAAGCAAGGGAAATTCTTTGAGCTTTGTCATGTTAGCTGTATTTGTAGAGCTATCTCGTGTTAGCTATAATCACAGCATGATTACTTTAGTTCTGACAAGAAGTTACTGTAGCAATTTATTTCAAGATCTGAGGTCTCTCTCTACTTAACTGAGTGGATGAACTTTTTTTCAGCCCGCTTCCAGCAGCATTTGACCGTATTATACAGGTTATCTAAAAACATCGACAATGTTTTTATTCTGTAAAGCTCTCAGCTACAATATCATATTTTTATAATTATTCTATGCAGGTTGGTGATGCCAGCGGCATCCAGTCCCCGGTTTCTTTTGGAGGTTTTGGTAGCATGACCAGACACCTGAGTAGACTATCAAATGGTATTTCCCATAGATTTATAGCATCTGCAACTTCAAGATAGAAACATGATAAGCTCAGCTAACTAAGAGTACAATCTAAAATCGTTAAAGTATTAAAAAAAGAATTTGTTGGCACTTGACAATTCTTTATAGTAAATATGATGAGATTTTGCTTTCATGTGGGAATCTTTTTGGTCTGGTAAATTTTTTTAGATAATTTGCTGGTTGTATAAGCCTAAATTTCCTGTGATTATGAGGAAACATGGCCATTTACTTATCCCCAGTTAAGAATATGATTTTCAAGATAACCAATGTATTAATATTTTTCTTGAGTTTTCCTCTAAAATAAGCTTATTTCAGTCATTGGGTTAGCTAGCAATGGCGTGATGCAAAAAGATAATAAACTACATGTAACGGAGTATGGGTTATGAGTGATGTATGTATGCCCCTATACTTGCTTTCTGGGGACTGTGTATCCTACTATCCTGTTAGGTGGCCTTGTTTCTTACGTGATCGTTAAATTGCCATACTTCTCAATTGGAAGATCGCCGTGTCATACTAATTCTTCCATTTGTTATTGTTCCTGTTAGTTGTTCTATTTGGTCAAAGCTTAAAAAAAGTTTGTCTATCCTGTTGACACAAAAATAAGGTTCAAGACCTCATTGTTGAAGATTTTCCAATTTTTCTGTCAAAGGATGTAGGAAGCAGAGCTCCTGTTCGTTTTCCGGAGGGTTTTCTGTAAAAAAATTATTCAGGGGATTTTCTGCAAAAATACTTTCCAGGGGATTTTCTGCAACAATACTTTCAGGGGGTTTTCTAGAAAAACTTTCCTGGGGGTTCTATAAAAACCCTCTGCAGGGGGTTTTACAAGAAAAATCTAGGGGGGTTTTCATAAAAAACTCTCCAGGGATCTTTTGCAAAAAACTTTCCAGGTGCTTTTCTGCAAAAATATTTCCAAGAGGTTCTAAAAAACTTTCCTGCAGGTTCTTTTGCAAAAAAAAATGGCCTGGGGTTTCTTTGTGAAAAAAATTCAGGGTGTTTTCTGCAAAAACTTTCCAGGGGGTTTTCTGCAATAATGATCCAGGTAGTTTCTGCAAAAACTTTCTTTGGGGTTTTCAGCAAAAAAAATTTCCAGGGGTTTTTGCAAAAATACTTCAGGGGAGTTTCTGCAAAAAGTCTTTCCAGGGGTTTTTTTTACGAAAAAGCATTCTGGGACTGTATACAAAAAACTTTCCAGGGGGTTTAATGAAAAAACTTTCCATGGGGTTTTTGGCGAAAAATTCCAGGGGAAGTCAAAAAAATCTTTCCAGGTGGGTTTGTGCAAAAACTCTTTACATGGGGTTCTCTGCAAAAAATTTCCAGGTGATTTCTTCAAAATATTTTCCGGGGGTTTCTGGAAAAAACTGTGATGGTTTTCTGCAAAAAAACGTTCCAGGGGTTTTCTGCCAAAAAAAAGTTCCAGGGGTTTTTTGCAAAAAAAGTTCTAGGGGTTTTCTGCAAAAAACTTTCCTGGAGATTTTGTCAAAAAGATTTTGCAGGGGGTTTTCTGTAAAAAACTTCCCATGGGGTTTTCTTAGAAAAGCTTTCCGGGTTGTTTTTTTTAAATCTTTGCAGTGATTTTCCTGTAAAAAAATCTTTCCAGGGTGTTTTCTTAAAAAAACTTTATAGGGGGTTTTTGCAAAAAACTTTCCAAGGGGTTTTCTTCAAAAATCTTTTCAGGGGTTTGATGCAAAAAACTTTCGAGGGGTTTTCTGCAAAAAAATTTCTCGGAGGTTTCATAAAAAACTTTCCAGGATCTTTTCTGCAAAAAAATTCCTGTGGGGTCTTCTGGAAAAAAGTTTCCAGGGTGTTTTCTGCAAAAAACGTTTCAGGGGTCCTCTCCAGAAAAACTCAGTGGTTTTTTTCAGAAAAACTTTTAGGGTTTTCTTATGAGTTTTCTTATGAATCTTGTATGATGTTATTTGCAGTTTCTGAAGTTTATCAGGGGGTGATTTGCAAAATTTTCAGGGGCTTGAGGTTTCCTGGGTTTTTTGAAATATAGCGAACTAAGATGAAATTGTAAATAATCAATATTAAGTTAAATGTTCTTCTTGTATGGTCACGCAAGATATTATCTTGGTAAAACTTAAACTGTAGTTTAATGGAGGTCACATATAGTTATCAAATTTAATTCCTATGCACATTTTGTCACTATAAGATCATGCTAGTGTTTATGTCTGCAGAAAGGTTGTAACATCCTTCTTTCTTTATGATTTTTTTTTATTTTTATCATAGGAATATATGAAGCAATATCTGGAGATTTCGTGGATAAGTACAGTTTGGGGTTGCTGAACCCTTATATGGTTTGTGTTTTCCTCATCATTATTTATGTTAGTTTGCATATCTATAGAGCTCAGCCGAATTGTTAATTGCAGCCGAAATGTTAATTGCAGCCAAATTTAAGTGCTTCATGGTTGTTTCAAAGAGCAATGTCAGCCCGGCCAAATGCAGACGTTTCATCAACTTTTATTAACGAGCTTCTTTTCTATAATTTCCAGGCTATGCAGGTAACTTTAGTCCTCCTTGAGCTTTCCCGGAACAATTTATCTTTGTTTTTTGCTTTAGTATTTTGTTCGTTTTGAATCTTGGTATCATTTTGCCAGAGCCTTGGGGATTCAGTACTTCGGCCATTCCTCCAGGTTAGAAATGTGACATTTGGTCAGAAATTCTCTCTTCGTTACATATTTACGTTTCATGTAATCTGTTTTCTGAACACGTAGGAGTTCATTTCCTTGTCGATAAAAAATTTATGGTACTGTTTTGAGTTGAAGTTAATGGAAATTCTTTGCCTTTTTAGGATGTCATACAGTTTGGCCCTCTTGTGAAGACATTGGGCTCTGTTATGCTGAGCCACCCCAATATCCTTCCATCAATATTCAGACAGGTGACTATTATTCTGCGTGCATTGTTATTTCTCTTCTCTTGATGTGTACATGTGTTTGAGTCAAACTTGCTGTTACAAAAATTCTACCTACCTTTCTTTCTGCTAAGACATACTTATGACATATGTGCATAGAAAAACATGTATCCACATGCACACCTAGAAACAGTGGTCTCTGGTGTCTTGTTCCGTTTTCTCTCCATTGGTTACTCTCCCTCTCTATTTATTCTTATGGTTACTCGCAACTTCACTCGTATTTATTTTCGTAATTGTGCAATGTCTAAACAAGTGAAAGAATAAACTATTTACAACATGATTAACATCTTAAGATCATTACATAACAAGACTTTGAATTTGAGTATAGATTTATACATATTTGTGCATTGGAGTTTTATTTATTCATGTAGTTTTGTATTTCAAGAAGAGGCTAGCTTCGCTGTTTCTTTCCTATGTCAAGAAGGGAATTAACTCAAATCCATTATCTGATTCAACTGTGAATTCAAACTGTTCTCAGGTTACAAAATTAAACCTAATCTAATCCTTAGGAAAACAATAGGCTTTATCGCACTTAAATACCTTATTGTTTCACTCGCTTTGCATGTACATACCCTCATTGTGCCATTTATATATCCTAAATTGTTTAAAATTGGCACATTAGTATCCTTTATTATGCAAATGTGAAAATTAGAATGCAAGTGTTTCATGAGAATTTATAATGGGAGATTCACATGTTTGCATAACTGAGGATATATAAGTGCAAGTTTTAAAACCTTTAGGGTATTTAAGTGGAAGTTTTAAAAATGTAAGGGAATTTGAGTGCAAGTTTTAATAACTTTAGGGTACATAAGTAAGTATTGTCAAAAACACGTGAGGGCATGTACGTGCAAGTTTTAAAGACTTTAGAGCGTATAAGCGCTACCAAATACAAGTGAGGGTATATAAGTGCAAAGTAGGAGAAACTATATAGGGTACTTAAATGCAATTAATCCTAGTTCTTTTTTAGTTATCCAAGGGGGGCCAGGGCCCTGTTGGGCCCTATATGAGTCCGTCCCTGGGTAGACATTTCTTAAATTTGAAAACTATATAAGATGGTGGTGCTCTCGGTTTTTATGCCTTAAATGACAAGATTAAGATTTCATCATGTCCGTGGTATCGATAAACTGCTGCTAGTTCATATTTGCCACTACATTTCTTTTACCTCATTCTCTCTAATTTTAAATTTTATGCAGGTCGGAGTTTCAGTGATTCTTGATTGGCTTGTGCATTTTGTGATGCTTGGTTGGTACACATTACTAACAAGCTTTTTTGATCCTCTCATCAGGTAAATTATGATCTTGGTCCACATAACTTGTGTATTTTGGTTGTTATAATCTATTGTAGTCATGCGTGTACATTCTTTCCCTCATGTTTCTTCTCTCTTTCTCAAGGCCATCAATCAAATTCCTTCCTCGAAAGAAGAAATACGAATTGAATCGTATTCTAGAAGCTTGGAAGTATGGATCTGGCTTGGATTACAACCAATCTGCGTGAAAAAAATATGGGGACGAGCTTCATACTTGTAGATTCCAAGGTCGGTCATCAAACTAGTAACAAGGTCTTTCCAAGTCCTGCATGAAATCAGCATTATTTTGGAGAAAGGAAGAATGGTAAGCATAGCCATATTAATGTCAATTATTTACTCTCAAGAAATTCCTAGTCAAATTAACGGTAATTATGGATAATCACTAGTTGCGAACACTGGTAAACATGGGTTTGTTTATAGCGCATGCAGTAGCTGTAGGAGTAGGGGATATTGGATTAGTTGAGGATTTAAAAAAAAACAGTTTTTAAACTAATATTTCACTATGTGGACAAATTATCTACAATATGGTCAACAAAAAGCTTCCAAAATTACTTTTCATAAAGATTTTGAAAAAAAAAAACTCACTTTTAAGAGTATAATGGAAGTACGACAAGTAAAAGACAATACTTGAAGCTGATTAGAAACTATTTCTGCAAATTTTCCCCTTTATACATTTTATTTACTTGGTTGCTAACCACAAACCCTTCAATTTTGAAGGAGGATCCTTTTGCTACTACTTCTTCAGGTGGAGTGAACCGATGAGGAATTAATGTTTCTACCATAGTTATAGCCACTGTAATTGCAAAGCTGTAAAGCACATTTTGGATCAACCAAACAATAAAGAACTACGCAGAACGGCATCACATTGTTACAGATGCAGAGTAAAGGTCCTTGAATTTGAGTAAAAATCCATGTAGAAATGGAAAAGATGTAATAACCATTTATCCTTGGGGGGTGTTCTGTTAACTTCTTATCAATGAAACATATTCCAGGTATAACTTGTACTTTGATCGTAAGGATTGATTGCAGTAGGAAGCTCTATTGAATCTTCATGCTGAAAATGGGTTCAACCGCTAGTTAAAGACCGAGTATATTTTGACCATATTACAAATAGCGTAAAGTTTCTTATGGTGTCTTACTGCAGAATTCCCCGTGAAGAAGCTTTGCGCAAAGAGGGTCTTAGCATAAAGGAAAATGATAGGGGCACATCCCTAACCACAACTTTAACGATATCCTCTCTCTCGCTACAGTACACCGGGCCTCACATGGGATTTTAAAATTTTAAAATCCTATGTGAGGCCCGGTGCACTATAACAAAAGAGAGAGGGTGTGGTTGGAGTTGGAGTTGTGGTTAGGAGTGTGCCCCTAGTGCCACTCTTAGCATAAATACAGACCATTTCATGATATAAAAGTACAGACATTGGTTAACAAGTTTAAGCTATTGAAACCTAAGACATGAAAAATAATAGAGAACAAAGGCAAGGATGGCGCACTTTGGATGCAGAAATACATACCAAGCTGGAGAGCAAAAAATAAAACAAAAGATAGACAAAAAGTACTTTTTAAGGATAATTATCTACCAGAGAAAAGTTCAAACAAAAAATAAAACAAAAGATACACAAAAAGTACCTTTTAAGGATAATTATCTACCAGAGAAAAGTTCAAACAAAACAAATTCCGACTGCTATCATGAACTGCCTAAATGGCATGATACTTCCAACTTTTTTATTATACTGCTATAAGCCTTCAAGCGATCCTTCACTATATACCCCAATATGCCAACAGTCCTTAAAATACAAACAGTATACAAGTTAACCCTGCACACTCAAGACTTCCGGCTAATATTATCTAATACACACTCAGCAATAAGATGAGCTCGCTTCTATTGTACAAGCACAAGAAAATAATTCAGCCTGTTGTTCGGGGCCCTAAGATTTTTGAGAGCTCTTTTACGATAGACTTCTCTTTAACTTCTCCACCACCTTCAATATGCCATTTCCTCGACATGTTCTCAACCTGTAATTGGACTGTACATAAGTTTGATAGAACTCTAAGAAATGATGTTCGAAATAATGTCACAATATTCGTTCACTTGCTACAAAAAGGAAATGCTTATCATAATCATCAAACTTACACCAGGCCATCAGAATCAATGGTTGATATCTGTAGCAACAACAAGAAAGACTAGGAATTTCTCCAAAAAACAGTGCAGTTCATGTAACAAATAATCTAGTCTACAGAGATGTTCATAACTAAGTTCACTATAGAATATTGTGTTCAATTCTAAAGCACCATATAAGTGAGATCCAGATTGAAACTAACTCCTATCACTTCAACGAAATAAACAAACAAAAAGAAAATTTAAAGAAAACAATTAAGCTAGAATCACAGACCCAAGTTCGTAGTGGGACAATTTGCTCCCTCAGGATATTGGCTCCTGGCTGTATCAGGTCCTTTCCCTTTGTTCTGATGTCGTTAGCCTGAAAGTAAACGCCAGTTTAGTTGGAGGCAGTAGGTTTTACATGAAGAAATCGCACCAAAACAATAAGAAATTGACTGCAGACTATTAATCAGCCAAACTCACAGTATACATAAACCAAAATCACAAGGGTTATGTATGGGACACACTGTAGCCCATCCAAGAAAAACATAAAACATTTCTATGTATGGTGCTAAAGCTAATGAAACATCACAAGTCATAGTGGATCAACAACAATACATATTAACCTATGGATCTATAGGTGCTAACAACCACTGTTTTAAATATCGGCCGATAAACGATATTATCGGCCGAGTTATCGGATTTGGGAGCTCTCCGCTAGGATAAATTAGATTTTTAATCGGTTATCGTTTTTCTAGGTTTATCGGCGATTTATCGGCGTTATCGGCACTTATCGGCCGATAAGTAAAACTTTTTTATCGGGATTATCGGGATTATCGGCAAATTGTGACTAACATTATATTTTTTTCAAGGCTATGATGCAAGTTTTGCTTTCTACAATTAGTTAATGATTCTAAACATGATGATTTACATTTTGGTATGTTTATATTTCATTAAGCATGATTAGATTATATTTTTTAATTGTTATATTATATATACACATCATTCAGTATATCACTCCGATAAATACTACTTATCCCCGATATATCCCCGATTTCCGCTATCCGATAAGGATTTTGGCCGTCCGATAAATCCCCGATAACCGATATTTAAAACCTTGCTAACAACAACATCAAGGTTAATATAGTCACAAACATCTCACAGTTATTGATGAGCAGTTGTTGAGCACGGACCATATCCTGTGAGTCAACTCAGGGAACTAAACCTTTGTGAGGTTGCGATAAGGAAAGACTTCCTTGCATTGACTGGATAGATGTCTTAGATGCAAAATTTTGGACAAGAATAGAAGTAGGATGTCCAAAGATATGATCGAATCATATGTGGGCAATTTTAAAAAAAGGCATCACACCAAGGTGTTATCTCTAGATTCATCATTAACACAAGAGAACTTCTCCACACTGAGTTATGATACGAAACGACTGCTTAAAAGTGGACCACTATTACTTTCCCTTCTTTAGGTATAACAGGAATATAGATATTCCTACAAATAATCCCATCAAGATCTGAAAACAATAGGGTTTTTCTGGTACCAGTCCCCAAATCTTTCATATTTTGATATTAGTCCCCCCAAATCATGGAAAATTAAAATTAGTCCCTCGAATCCTCTAAGTATGTTGGAATAAGTCCTACAAACATCTTTCCCAAATCAACCAACATCCATCCTATACAGAAGTGTACTACAAACATCTTTCCCACGGACTGAAAGAACCCCATACTTAAATTAACCCTAACAATTAAAACTTACAAATACCAAGCCCTTCCAATTTTTAGGCAAGATTAGGGCAAAAAAAAAAAAAAACCTTGAGCACAGATTGAGCATGCTTTTGCAATATTAGCATTAAATCAACTAATTTCGACCTGATTTAATGATTTTTGCTGTCAATTTTGGTTGATTTGCAGGAAAAGGTGTCCCCTCTATCAATGTTATGAGTAGGAAGGGAGGGGGTTTGGGGTTTTTTTTTGTTTTGTTTTGGGGGTGGGGGGGTAGGGGGGGGGGTGAC